AGCAGGAGCAGTAGTAGTAGTAGTAGCAGCAGCAGCAGCAGGAGCAGTAGTAGTAGTAGTAGTAGTAGTAGTAGTAGCAGCAGCAGTAGCAATAGCAGTAGCAATAGCAGTAGCAGTAGAAGAAGCAGTAGTAGTAGCAGTGCGGGGGGATAAGACTGTGACTAGTACTGGTATTCGTACTAGTACTGGTACTTCGCTTGCTTCGGCTGGATCATCTTCCTGTCTGCGTATGTTGCAGTCCAACACCAGTGGGACTTCGCTAAAACCCTCATGACACCTTCTAATTAAGAAGATCCCCAGCATGACAAAACCTAGAAAAGCATGCTACGGCACTGTAGAACCGCACCCCCGAAGACCTGATGATGAATCCCTACACAGTTTGAGGATGAGTTGCCGAAGGTATGGGCAGGAAGTCGACCCCTATACCCAACTTTCAGAAACCCTGAACCTTACCTCAGGAGCCCTAAACCGTACACCCTAAGACCCCAAACAGCCTAAACCCCAAGCCCTGAGGTATGGACAGGAAGTCTACGAGGCTTTCATGGAGCCGGACCGCTGGACTCAGAAGGACACATGGTCGAACCGCACTTCGTCCCAAAAAAATCCCCCCGCCTCACAAACAAGAAGAGACACCAAACACAGGGTTCAGTTTAGGTTTTAACGTTCAGGGCTTGAGGCTTATCAGCTACGTGGTTCACTACGAAGGGCCGCAAAAGAACCTGCACTGCCATGACGAGTTTTTGGGGCGGGTTTGGAGCGAGTTGAGGGGCTTTGGATTTTGAGGGGTTCCGGCTTTAGGGCTCCAAGGTTTTAGTAGGTCCTGCGGTTTGTCTATGCAGTTGCGGTTTCAGGCTTCTGGCATTGTGTTCAAGGCTTAGGGGCTCAGGCTTCAGAGTTTAGAGCTTCGGGCTTGAACGATTTGGAGAGGTCTGCAGAGTTTCCCCTACGTACGTCTGAACTTGTAACTATGACTTTGATCATGATGAACCAATAAACATGCATAGCCGCAGGGTTTGCCGTTCGGTGATCACGAGGGTTTTTACTTGGGCCAGCACATTGCCGAACGGCACGTCCTCGAGCTGCCGGCCCATCGGCCGGAGTTGCAGGCAGATGCGGTAAATCCTTGTAATTGTACCGCAGTGCGAATCCCTGGGGCCCTGACGGCTGCGTGAGCGAACGCCGTGCTACACTTCTCGTGGGCATCGGCTGACGCAGATCTCGAAGTCTTCCTGAGATAAAAGCAAGGCAGGCAAACAAACAAAAAAACTAGCGGAGCGAAACCCCTTCAGAGTCAGAATGCGCTTGCAGGTAACAGGTGTTCTTAGTTTGACAGCTTTCTTTCAGTTTTCGACCCATCCGTCGCAAATGTGTCGTGCCCTCACAAGCCTGGGGGCGACTGCGTCGCCTTCCTGCTTCTACTTCTTCCGCATGCAGGATGTTTGAGTTACGACAGACAGTATCAGTCGTCGAGCTTGTAACCGGATGGTTTGCAAGTTCGACAATGGACGTTGCGGCCGCGCCTGACATCTTGGTGCTAGACTGCACCCTCACAAACAATTTCGCGGCTTGGTTGTGATCCTCTATACACACTCAGCGGCCGAATCCTGGGCCTGATTCATTGGAGCGCTTACAAACGACCAGCGATCGCCATCGTCATAAACGGTGTTCGTCAGCCCGATGAGCGGCCGATCAGCGGACCTCTGCTATTATTTTTGGACCTGCCAACTGCCAAGGGTTGAGCTTGCACACAAACAGGATCCAGCAGAAGAGTTGCTTCAATGCAACAGGCCGAACCTGAAGAAGGAACCGTGTTATGATGGTTGCTGAGAAGAAACGGCCGCATGCCTGGGAGCTTCGAAGCGAAAGTACGTGCAATATTGTAGGCACATAGGAAAGCAAAAATGAGTCACAGAACGGGAAGCGAGCTGTGCTCGGACCCGTTTATCCAAGCGTTCACGAGGCTCGAATGTAAGTAGGAAGCGGGCTCCTACCTCATGTCGGAAGAGGCCGGCTGCTTCGCCAGGGTAGCCCGCGCAGGGTCATTGAAGAGCATTGTGGCTTGCGTGACACTTTCAGACGACTCCACATGGCTGTCAGCCGCAGACGGGTCCGAGCGAGCAGGACGCCGAGACAGGGCCAGGAGCGACACACAGATGGACATCTAACCGGTCAGGCTGCAAGGTTAAAGTGTTCCTGTCGTCAGGTTGGACACCGACGTCGCGGCCTACAGGGTTTTCGTTATTCAGTTCGTGGGTTAGGGTGCTGAGTGTGTAGGATGTCGCGTATGTAAGGGTGGGGTCTAGAGATACCTACCGTGGTTACTGCAGATTGTGTGTAAATCTGGCCCCCCATGTAGTTTAGTTGCAAAGGCACAGGGCAGGGCCAGGCGAGACCCCGTGATCAAGGAGCCCATCTGTGCTTTACCCAAGGGCTCCAGTTACCTAAATAGTAGTTTACTAACCCTATATTATGTACCCCAGTAAAACCTACGATTTAGGTAACTGGAGCCCTAGGGTTAGCTAAACCCAATGAAAGCTGCCCATCGACTGGGATGCACTTGTCATGGCTCCTTTGGAGCTGGCTTACCCAAGTTCCAGGTTACAGCATCATGTCAAGAACCGTTTTACAGGTTGAGCTACCGGAAGACAAAAAGGTAACTAAGCCGGAATTATAGGTATCCAGATCCCTGAATGCTACAGTAGGATGCAAAAAACATTGAGCCCCAGACCCTGAATCCTATGTAAGTAGGAAAGAGCCTCATGTCCAAAACACCGTCAAACCCTCAACTCTCAACTCTAAGCCCCAGCGCAAACCCTAACCCCAAAGCCCAAGACGGGAACGTGTCGTTCAAAAAGGCCATGCAACAAAACCCAAACCCGAAGTCCCTGAACCCAACCCTAAACCCTAAACCCTAAACCTTAACCCTGAACCCTAAACCCCTTAAAGGGCCCGAAGTCCCTGAACCCAAGGCTTGTTAGCTGCTTTGCTGGCTGCTGCAGAGATCCAAAGAGAGGTGGCATCCTAGTGTCCTTGATGTTAGGGATCTAGCCTACGGGTCCTTGACGTCATGCTCCTCCTTCAGGTTCCTTGATATCTCTTTCGATATATTGGGTTTTTCGGTTTCCTTTCAATGCATAATGTAGCAGTATCATGGGCGGCTTCTTCCGACTAGATATGTACAAGTTTCACGGTCGATGATTTTGTTTATGAATGTTTGTGGAGCAATTGGTTTTTGTTGCTGGGAGTCGTTTTTGCTTTCTAGCCTCGTATCGCTTTATGTTGTCTGTGCGAGTCTTCAAATCAAGGCTTTGTAATATTCTGCGCGACCCTTCTTTCGAGACCAACAGAAGAACAGCAGAGACGAGGTTCTGATCAGGTTTGAAGCGAACAAATCCATGGCATTCGATTAAGATTCATATACTTGCTACGCTATACCTACGGTCACCAACCACCGTCTGCTACCACCGGGGGCATCCGTGTTCCCTGAAACTCCTGCCGCGGAGCCAACTCGGGTTTCGGGCTTATATAGTAAACCCTAAACTCTACACCGTGTTGAGTAGTGCCTGGTCGGGCCAGGCCGGTGCTCAATCGGGAGGACGAGTCGGAACCAGAACCCAAAAGCGTGAACGAAAACATCGCAACCCCAAATCCCGCAAGCAACACTGGTCATTCAAGCCTTCACCGAACGGCCCCGAGCCCAGACCAACCCTGAACACCAGAATGAACATAGGGGCAAACAACATGCCGATACTATTTGCTGGTTCCTTACATAGTTAGAGTCCATTATGCTTCAAAACCCAATTCTTTTTACTAGGACCGCTTTATTGCATGTAACTTGTTGGCGACGCAGCCCAGTAGCGACAACCATACCTCTAAGCGTATACCCGTGAAACCGTTCACCAGGCGGAGAAGGAGAAGATGGGTATGGAGGAGGAGCCCTGGCAAAGGGTTCTTTACAAGCCCGAGGGCTTTCAATTGCCATCCCTGCGGCACCGAAACCCTGAACCCTAAGCCCTAAACGGATAGGAGGCCCTAAACCCAAACCCTAAGCCCTAAACCCTGAACCCTGAACCACAAACTGCTTGAGCAGATTAGGCTTTCATTCACATTGGTCCCAGACGCTCCCGGGAAGGAAGCGTGCTTCATAATGTAGCCTTCAACCCTAAGTTCCTTCAGCGTACACGTCCTTCGCATGTTGTTGTTGCCTTGTCACGGCTTCAATAAGGTTTCTAAAAATTGTCCCGAATGCCGAAGGCTCATTCCTAAAACTTAACACAGCCCTGAAACCCACTACCCGCTCAGCTCGAAACCCTCTTCACCCTAAACCCTCAGGGCCACGCATCGAAATCTGAAGCCCCAAGGGCCAGAAACCGCAAGCATGAATTGTAAAAATAGAGTTCAACATAAGAGCCCGGAGCCTGCTGCACCGTCGCATTTTGGTGGTGGTCGGCCGAGGCCAAGGATCATATCGAAGCTCCGCCGGAGTTGGAGAAGGACCCCTAAACCCTAAACGGGTTTGGGGCTTCATGTTGGGTTTCGGGAGTCTGGGCTTGGGGTTTCAACAGGGTTTTCGGGTTTTGGGCTTACTGCCTAAGCCTAGCGGTTCCACGAAACTCTGGGTTTAGGATTTTTGTCTCAGGGTCCTCCAAGAACCTCAGCAAGGTTCCTGATTGTGATTTCCCTTTTAAACTTTATGAGCCCTGAAAACTGGAATTGGCAATTATGTAGACCCCTGTAGTAATTTGGCACCCTAAACCCCCGACCCCGCACCCGGCAGCCTGCCAAGTGAGAGTTTGGGCAGCGATAGTGCACACCAACACCGACCACAAATAGTAGGATCCTGATTCAAAGATCCCTAAGCCCTAAACATCAAGCCACAAATAGTGTGGCTAGCAACGGCCAGCAGCTAGTAGGACCCTTAATTTAAAGATCCCGAAACAGGCTCCTGTTGATGACCCTCCAACACGGAACTCCCAGTCATGTGAGCCACCAGCCCGGGGGGCTTCAGATTGCCGTAAGTAGGACTTGGTTTTTAGACTCTATAGGGTTTAGGGCTTAGGGTGATACTACGTGTCTACTTGGGGTCTTCGGTCCCACTAGTACGGCCTCCCAGCTGTACGAAACCCCCTGTTTGTGACGAAAGGACGAGAGCAAGGTTCGTCGGAAGAGCGCCTACATGCAGCGTCTGTGACATGCCTACGGCAAAGTTCAGCGCAATAGAGTCTAATGGGGCGTGATTAGGTAGTTTAATGGGGCGAGGTTTCTGATTGAGGGTTCCCGGACCCCGGCTGCACAGTTAAACTGGGTTAACTGGCCTTGAGTGATACGTATTTAGGGTTTTATGGAGGTTAGATGAGGTAGAGGCCGAAGTGAGTGTAGATTCGGCTTAGGAAGGGGCGGGGGATATACATTCTGCAGAACACCCAAACAAGATTTAAATCTAAACCCTATAATCCCTAAACATGTTTACTTTAGAAAAAGCCTTTCAGGAATACTATACCTTGACTAAACCTGACACCTCAAACCCCCAAGCCCTAACTATTCAGATCCCTAGGTTTGTCTGAACGGCCACAGGTTATTGGGC